CCCAGGGTAGGCTTTGTAGGGACAGGGTGCGGTGGTATAAATCCAGGGGTACAGCCAAGAGACAAAAGCTTTTTGGACAAGGGATGCTGCAAGCGGGGCTCTGAGGAAAGGTGAGATCTGCCTTGGCTAGTGAGTCAGAGCTGCAGGCTGGCAGGAAGGGTGGCCCCAGCAGCTCTCCGGAGCCTGACAACCCTACTCGGAACCTTCCCCCGTGCCCTAAGCACTTGTCCTGCATTCACTCATTTCATCCACACATCGACCCCAGGAGATAAGTCCTGTTGCCTCATTTTATAGATGAGGATATCGAGGCACAAAGAGGTTACGTGACTTGCCCAAGCTCCTGGAAATAGAAAGTAGCAGAGCCAGGATTTAAAGCCGGCATCTGGCTACAGGGTCTAAACTCTTAACCAAGGCTAGGAAGGGTCCCTTGACTGGATGGAGAGGAGGGTGAGGGGAGCACGGGTTGGGAGCCTCACTCCAGGGGAGGGCAGAGCCCCAGTTGGGGGCCAGAAGCCAGGATTTGGGGCTTGAGCTTGCCACCCGTGTCCCTTTCCCCCTCCATGTCATGTCTCCGTTTCCTCATCTGTAAAATGGGGTAATAACGGTCCTAATTTGAGTTTCTATCAAGCTGCAGGGCTGAGCCCCTAGAGCACATGGATCCCTCTCGAGAAAAGCTAGGCCTGGACGTCCACACAGGATGCTGCTTCTGTGACAGGGTGATGTAGGAGTAGCCTCTCCCCTGCTAGGTCTCACTAGGAAAAGAGGGGACTCTGCAGGATGGTGCCAGAACCCCGCCACCCCCACCGCGCCCCAGGGGCCGGGTGGTTCAGGGTGGCTGGCGTGGAGGCCCTGTTACCTGGGAGCTGTGGGTGGCGGGCAGGCGGCGCTGCTCCCAGAGGCTGAGGGAGCGCTGTAGTTCCTGTGAGGGGCTCAGGGGGAGGGTGTGGGCCTGGTCCAGGCCACTCAGCAGGGCCAGGCTGGCCGAGAGGCTGGTCAGGTAGTAACCGCCTGGGACACAAGGGGAAGAATGCAGCTCAGGCTGGGGGTAGGGGACACTTGGCCACCGCCCCCCACCACTTCCTGGGGGCCATGCAGCCCCTAAGCACCCAGTCCCACACAGACAGGGAGGTGGCACGTGGAGGCGCTCCCTCACCCTCTCCCGTGAGCAGGCTGGGCTCCAGCAGCTCCGACATGTACTCGGCCTCCAGCAGCAGCTCGGGAAGGTCGCACTGGGCCAGGACAAGGCTTAGCAGCGGGAGGAACTCGTCCGCCCCTGCGCCCTCCCCTGGGGGGTGGTAGAGGAGGAAGCTTCAGACTCCTCTGGGGCCCCAGGGTCGGGTGTCCACTCCGTGTCTCAGTGACCCTCCCTTCCACCTGCTGGGCCTGGGGTGATGTGGTCTCTATGGCAACCACAGACAGGGGCTGGGGAGAGGATGCTCTAGTCTCTGGGCCTCGGTTGCACCATCTCTGAGATGGGAGGGTTGGACCCATCCCCCGCTCCTGCTGCGCCATTCTGGAATCTCTGGGGGGCCTGCCTCTGACTGGGCAGGGGGGCAGGAGGGGGCGTACCCGCGTGGGTCCTCAGGGCTGTGTAGAGCAGCTTGCAAGCCTGCAGGAGCCGCTTGACCTGGGCGCTGGGAGAGTAGGCCCGGAGCAGCTGCAGCAGCTTCTGGCGCACCTGCTCCAGCTCCACGGGGGAGGGCAGGCTCACGTGGGACCCGAAGGCTCCAGGGCCCTGGGTCCGGGCCAGGCGGAGGCCTTCAGCCAGGCGGCCCAGGGAGCCATTGGCGGAAAGCCGGCGCCGCAGGCGGGCCGCCAGGATAGGCCGGAGAGGCTTGAGCACGGAGCGATGCAGCGACTTCTCCAAGATGTGTTCTGCGGAGGAGAGGCGGGCAGGGTCAGGGGCGTGAGTAGGGGCCCCCGGGACGGGGCTGTAGTCAGGGAGAGAGAGGGACAAAGAGGAGGAGGAATCTCGGTGAGACGGGAGAAGAGCGGGAGAGAGGCGGGGAATGGGAAGAGCTGGAGTTAACGGGGGAGGGGAGAGGTGAGCTGAGCCTGTGGAGCCCGGCCCGGGGTCTCACCCAGTCTCTCGGGCGGCAGCAGCTTCTCAGGGCCCAGCTCCGCGCTCAGCATGGCCCGGGCCCGGCTCAGCGCCTCTCGGACCCCCTGCAGCTCCCGGGGCTCAGGGCCAGCCCGCACCTGGGTCAGTAGGTCCTGCACCAGCTGGCCCACAGCCGTGTGTCGGTCCTGCGTCAGCGCCGAGGCTGCTCGGCCCACCTTCCGCTCGGGTGCCAGCAGGGAGCAGAAGGCAGCGCTCATGGACCGAAGCAGGGGCCGCCGGCGGCCCAGGCAGGGGGAGGTCGCTGGGCTTCCCCGGGAACCCGGCACCCCCTCCTCTTCCGAGCTGCTGGGGGAGCCACAGTCTACCTCCTGGAGGGAGGGCAGCGGGGGGAGGCTGGGCCTGGCGCCCCCTGGCACACGGTACCCCACCGAGCTCTCCCTTCGCAGAAGCTGGCGAGGGGGTAAGCTTTCTGTCTGGTTGGGGGCTGCACCTGGCAGCACGGGGACTGGGGGAGGTGGCACGGCAGGTGGTGACAGAGGACTGGAAGTCTCCGTGGACACACGCACTTTGAAGCTCCTCTTGAATTTCTCCCGCTTGGTGGGGCCCAGGTCCCCTGGGAACAGGGGATTGAAGAAGCATAGGGCGGCTCCTGTGCCCTGGTCCAGCTCTTGCGGGGACCGGGGCTTCAGCCGGGGCAGCAGCTGGCCTTCAGATGGGCCCGGCTGAGCCTTGGTGTTGAGGGAGGAGCTCCAGAACTCTAGGGAAACCAATTGGGGCCTCAGGGAGGTTTGCGGAGGGTGCCATGTGCCCGTATGCCTTCCCTTTTCTTCTTGGCCTCAGCTTGTCCATCTGTGCAATGGGTAGCAGAAGAGCCCTTACCAATGCCCAGATGGGAGATGGCTTCGAGTTCCTTGTGGGTGGCTGCCTGGCAGATGGCTCTGGGGAGCTGGAGTGGGAGGAGAAGGATGTCCCTGAGGCCAGAGAGGGAAACAGAAAGCCAGGGGTGTGAGGGATGCTCAGGGCTCTGGGGGCTGACAGGACCTGCAGGGGTTGGGAAGACAGACTGTCCCAGGGAGCTGGGACCAACGGACACCAGCCACCCTGTGGCCAGGCTCACCGGGTATGGCAGTAGGCGCAGATGAGCTGGACCAGGTCTGGGAACATGAGCTCTGAGCCCTCCAAGGAGACGCCTGAGAGATGGGAAGTGCGGTTGTTCTCTGGGAAACACCCCTGCGCCCGGCCCTGACGGCTTCCAGCCCCTTCCCCCCCCAGGCCAGTCCCGCTCACCCCCAGGGCTCTCCTGGATGTAGTGGCTAGAGACAAAGGAGGAGCCACCGGCCTCGGGCAGCCGCACGCACAGGGCTTGGCACCCGCGAGTGTTAGATTTCCGCACCAGGAACGTCTGCAAGGGACAGGGGTCGCAGGCTCGGCACCTCCGTGTCCGGCCTCTCCCTCTCTCCCCCCACCGCCCCCCGCCGGCCAGTGCTGGGGTCAGGGGCACGACTCACCCCCGGGGGCTCGGTCCTCAGCACGTGCAGTGCCGCCGCCGCGTTGGCCCGCAGCTGCAGCCACACGGGCCGCGTGAGCAGCAAGCGCTCCCGCAGGCTCACGGTGCGCCCAGGCCGCTGGGGCCCGCCCGCCTGCCGCCCACTGGCCCCTGGCACGTCGTACGGCGGGTCCTCGGCTGGCCTGCGGGCGGGCGGCAGACTCGAGCAGGGCATCAGGGGGTGGGACCCTTGCTTCCCCCTCTCCCCCTCCTCTGCCCTGGGACGGACCCTGCTCTGCCACCCCTCCCCGCCCCACCAGGCTGCCCTTCCAACTTCACTAACTTTTCTCTCTCCGGGCGCCCAGGTGCGAAGTTGGACAGGCTGGGGGCTCCGAGAGGTCCAGCTCCCGGCTCCCCAGGGGTTTCCATGGCTGGGAGCTCCTCTGGTTTCTCCCGGTTTCTCCCAGGACTCAGGAAGGGAATCCAGCCCCCGAGGCAAGAGCGCTCACATTCCCGGCGGTGAGTAACACTTCCTGAGGGCGGTTCGCCCTGTCACGCCCCACCAGTTAACTCTTGTGTGTCCACTCAGCCCGGGCCGAGCCCGCGTCCTCTCTGTTCTGGGCCCAGCGTCAGGGGGCAGGGGTCCTGTGCGTGCAAGCGCCCCTCCTAGAGCCCCAGCTGTAGGGCTGCCACCTCCACATGGTGCATCACGGAGCCTTACCGGCCTCCTCAAACCACACAAGCAGGCAGGAAGGGGTTAAGCAGGGCCCATCTGGGTCCCCACAGGCCCCAGTTTGGCCCTGGGGCACCTTTAAGTCTGCGGTCAATGGCTCACCTGTGCGTGGCCCTGGGGTCAGCCCGGTGGGAGAGCACCCCCTACCGGTCACAGATGACTCAGTCCTGAGCCTAACTTGGGTTTTGGGATTTCAGGTTGCCATGGAGAAAGGATGCTGTGTCTCCATGGAAACTAACCCCTTTGCTTAACTGAGGTTCTGGGGGTGGTTCTAACACGCGGCGCCGAACGGCTGGGGGGGGTTGGTTGTGAGGTCGTCAGCACACGGTGCCGCCAGCTGCCTCCTACGCACACAGGCCCTGCCAGCCTGCCTTACCAATCCGCCAAGGGACTGGGGCAGGTGCAGACGTGACCCAGTCTCCCAGCCCAGAGCACATAGCTGCCTGCCCCACCCCAGGACACATGGTCTGCCTGTGCCACGTGTTGCTTCAGACTTGGCTCAGGAGCCCTTGGTCAGCCAGGGCTCACTCCCCCACCTCTGGGAGGTGTGGTGGGCGAGTCCCCCCTGCCCCTCCCGATACCCCAACTCAGAGTAGGTTGGCTCCTGCCCGGTAGTGAGGGGAGGTACCAGGGACTCCAGGAGAGCCCGCCTGACTCAGGCACTCCCCTGGGGAGCCCTGATTCTCTTGCAAGGTAAATCAGACACACACAAGTCACGCCAGAGTCCCAGGAGATTTTAATTCCAGTCCCTGCAATCTGGGAGACACCAAGAACCTCCTTGAGAAGACCCGGGGAGCCTGCCTTCTCACCTCCAACAACAGCCAGGAGAGACAGGCCCCCAAAATATAATGTCTGGCTCAGAGTTCCCACAGAGTGGGGCCCAGCTCACTGGCTCAGCAACTGGTCCAAGGACAGCAGGAAGGATGTTGCTTTGGCTTAAGATGAGCCACATCTTCTTTGTCTAGGAGGGCACCAAGGAGGCTGCCCTTTGGGAGGGGGAGGTGGTGCGCTCACTGGGGATGGAGGAGACAGTCTTGCCTGGCTAGGGCAGCTCTGGGCCACAGCTGTGCAGGCCCCCGAGGAGGGCAGAGGGGTCCGGACCAGCGACGGCTGGAGGGGAAGGTCCAGCAGCAGCACCGGGGAGCTGGCTGGACAGACCCCGAGGGGCTTGTCAGTCTGCCTTCCCACAGCAGGAAAATGCGAATCCTGGCTTTGCTGACAGCTGCCCCGAGGGGCCCCTTGGCTCTGAACAGCATGGTCATGGTCCTAAGGAAGATGCACTGCAGGTGAAAAGCTGAACCCAGAGGGGAACACCACTGCCTATGGGGGGCTGAGAGGAACAGCCTCAGGCTGGCCCAGGGCAGCTCTACATGGGCCCAGCATTCCAGCCCTCCCTGACCAGTCCCGGGTGCAGGGAGCTTCATCCCCCAGCCCCATCGACCTAGAGCTTCCCTACCCCACCCCGGCGGCTCCCACTCCCCAAACCATTCTAACTGGGGCCACTGATCTGACATAACCACTGCCTCTTTCTGGGCTCTTTTCCAGGACGCTGGGCTGGGGGAGGGGGTGGCAGGAGGCAGAACAACTCCCGTGGTTCTTACCATCTGCTTTTCTCTTCTGAGGGGACACAGCTGCCCTGGCCTGGGTGGGTAAGAAGAAAAGCCCCCCTTGAGAGCCTGCCTCCAGCTTGGCAAGTACCCTCCTCCACATCAGTTTCTCTGGGGTGGGGGCGCTGTTGGGTCAGTGCAGCATGGAGATGGGGGCGGCATAAGACCCTTTCTAGGCAAAGCTCTGATGTGGTCCCCTGACAGACACCAGGCCAGCCCAGCCCAGAACAGCTGCCTTCCCTCCCTCCCATCCCATCAAAACCTGCCCTGGAAGGAGGAAGGAGCTGACACAGATTAAAAGAACCCTCCTGCAGGGAAGCCTCAGGCCAGCGCCTGGGTGGCTCAGTAGGTTAAGCATCTGACTCTTGATTTCTGCTCAGGTCAAGATCTCAGGGTCATGAGATCGAGCCCCACATTAGGCTCTGTGCTAGGAGTGACCCCTACTTGGGATTCTCTCTCTCCCTCTGCACCCCGCCCCCCGCACCACTCGCACAAACACATTCTCTTCCTGTCTAAAAAAAGGGCAATGCCAGGGAACCTGGGCTAAAGGCAGGAGGTGCTGAGGGCTGAGCAGAGCTCCCAGGCCCTCAGGAAGCCCAGGCGTGGTGAGCCCACAGAGACCAAAGCTGGTGTCAGGGATGGGGACCTGCATGAGGGAAGCAGGGGCCCTGGCCCCACCTTTTTGATAGCCGTCCAGTCCTCCAGGATGTCGATCTCCTGCAGCATGTACACGATATAAGGACCTGCAATGGGGGTCAAGGAAGCAGGAAGCCCAGTGGAGGGGACAGGTGTCACAGCGGGGAGGGGGCTGAGGACCCAGGTTATAGCTCAGGTTCTGTCTCCTCCCTCTTGGCTCCCAGGTTCTTGGGGCAGGGCCTGTGGCCTCTCCATGAGTCCGTGGGGGATACTGAGTCTCACCCCTACCTCCCCTCGGCTCCCCCTCCCCCTCTCTCCAGTGTAAAGGTCAGGAGGTGAAAACCCAGCCCACCCACTCAGGGACCTTGCTCCCTCCACTCCCTGTCCCCTTCCTGTCCCTTCATCTGGCCCCTTCTACACACAGATTTCAGTCTCTTCCATCCTGGAGACAACCCTCCTTTGGTCTCCCACTCCCCTCCGGGGACCATCTGCTCTGTCCTCCTGGGCTCTGTACCTGATGTCTCCATGCCCTCACCTCCCATTCACCCTCAAGTCCTCGCAGCCCAGACACCTCCCTCCCTGCCTGACCCGACTGCCATCACTAGGTGGCCAGTGTCCTGAGAGTCTGAGGGCTGCAGAGTACCCGGGGGTGGGGGTGGAGGGTGTGCGGATTCCGTTCCAGTCTGTGCTGGGCGCTGCCAGGAGGGATGAGGGCTCAGCAGGCCCTGAGCTGAAGGGGCTCACGCCTAAGGTGGGGCAGGGGGCAACTACAGTATGGGATGTGGGTGCCCCAGTTTAGGCCACAGGGGTGCAGAGGAGAGAGAAGGCACTGCCATTGGGGAGAAACCAGGAGAGGCTTCACAGAGGAGGTAACATGTGAGACAAGCCCTGACCAGGCACAGATAGGCAGCACAGCTTTCCAAGAAGAGGGTGGAAAGCGAGAGCAGGCGGAGGAGGGGGTGGTGGTAGGAAAGTCTAGGACCTGTCGGGGATGTTGTGGGAAAGTCAGAAGAGCCTCGAAGAAGACTTCGCTCAGCAAGTTAGGGGGAGTCACTGAGTGGACACTTCCTATTTCTCTATGATCCACACGGCCCAGCAGAGACCCAGGGCGTCACAGAAAATTCCCGACAGTTGGATTTGCCTAATGTGTCTAGCGTGACTCTGCCTTCCATGTCCCTCTCCACCCCCGCCTCCCTTAACCCTGATGTCCTGCCCGGTTCAGGCTGCCCTGGGTGGAAGGATACCAGAAACGAGAGGAGCCTTCTTCCTCTTGCTGGCTGGCAGGGAGTCCCAGGTCTTTGCGCTGCTTCTGGCGTGCAGTTTGTCATCCCACCACTCTGTACCCCCAGAGCCAGAGTCAGGATCAAGGTGCTGACCCTCCCAGGACACCCCGCCCTTGCAGCTGTGTCCCTCACAGGAGCCGGGCCAGCCCTTCCGCCTCCTCTCCCTCCCAGGGCGGTGGAGAGCACCCCGGGGGCCGGGGGCATGGAAGCTGAGGTCAGGGCCGGATGGCATGGTTGTGCGAGCCTGGGGGAGGGGTCCCTGTACTTTTGTCAGCCCTGTTTCTTCATCTGTTTAGTGGCCAGTGGGCCTCCCTAGGACCCCCTACGAACACAGGCGCTGTGGACACAGGGGACTGTGGCTGTTGTAGGTGTGGGGGTGTCAGAATGGCACCTCCTGTTCTGGAAAGAGAGCGGGGGCCGAGGAGGGCAGGGGGACCCATTCTTGCCGAGCCTCCACTGCGCGCCAGGTCCTGGGCTGGGTCCTTTCTGTGCCTGGCTCCCTGTGGGCCCCACAGTGACCCCATGAAGCGGGCTCCCCGACATGCTCCCCGGGCAGGCAGAGCAGCAGACGGGGTGCCCACGGGGAGAGCGGCACCTAGGGCAGCCTCACCAGAGCTGATGTCCAGGCTCTGGCGGTCCTCCTCCAGCCTCTGGATCCGCTCCTGCAGCTCCCCCTGCAGGGTGTCGTAGAGCAGCAGCTTCTCACTCTGGAAGGGGCGGAGCCGCTCAGCAGGGCGGCGGGGACAAGCCACTTCCACTCGCCATCCCCCCGCCCCCCGCCCCAGCACCCAGTCACATTCACCTCCAGGTGCTGTTTGGCTCCCTGCAGCTCACACTCGTACTTGTTCCGGATCACGTCCAGACAGAAGCCCTTGTAGATCCCTACAGTGATTGGGAGGGGAGGGAGATGGGAAGCCCTGCTTGGCCAGGGACCCAGGTGTCCAAAAGGGGGAGCCAGGAGCAGGGCCGGTCAGGGCAGGGATGAGAAAAGCAGGGAGCAGAGAGCCAGGGGTTCTGGCAGAGGAAGAGGTAGGTGGCCTGGGGGCTGCCCTAGAGCACAGGACAGCCCACAGACCTGCCACCTGAATGCGGATCTTGAGGCTCCGCTGCAGCCCCCCCAGAGGCTCTGTGTACTCAGGTGCTCTCTCAGCCCCCACTTCCTCCAGCCGCACCCTCAGCTGACTCAGCCGTTCCCTGAACAACCTGGGAGGGAAAAGGCGTGTGCGTCTATCAAACACGTGGCCGAGCGCCCGGCGCTCCCCAACCCTTGACCACCCCTGCCCCGCACCAGGCCGGCTGCCTCCTCACCCTGGGTGCCGGGAGACCCAGCCCTAGACGCCCACGCTCACTTCTCCTTTAGCTCCGAGAACTGCTTCTCCAGGTCCAGCATCTCGTTGACGCACTCGCTGCGACGCCGCTCGTAGTCCTCATCGTCCATCTCTGGGACAAGAGGCCAGTCAGCGCTGGCTGAGGAGGAGCGGCCGGGCACCCGCGTGCGCCATGTGGGGGGCTCACCTGAGCTCTCCTCCTCTGACTCAGTCTGGCTGCCACTCCGCTCCTCCTCACTCTCTTCCTCCTCCCCATTCATCTCAGCAGCCGAATCGCCCTCTGCTTCCATCTCTTCTGTGTCTTTGCTTGGAGGCTGGACGGGCATCTGGGCTCTGGGAGAAGGAGGGGAGCCATCACTTATCATTGTCCTCAGTTCCGAGCAGGAAAGTGGCCATGCGGGGAGTCAAACCAGGCCCTGTCTGCGCATCTCCCAGAGGCCCGGGAACCATGGAAATGCTCCCGTCCTGGGACATTGCTGGTGATCCCGATCTGGGGAATGCTGGCCAAGGCGACGGTCTGTAAGATGGGAAACAGCAAGGATGGGCTCCCCCACTGCCTCTGGGACTGGGCGCACACTTGTGAATGGGGCATTTAAGGCCCTGCACAGACTGAAGTACTGGGCCAGCACCTTCACCCTACCATCTAAGGGTCAGTCCTTAAGTACACCAGTTCTTCCTCCTCTCCACCCCTTCCTGTTGATCCTTCCACCTGGAAGGCCCTCCACTTCTCTTCCTGAGAACACTCGGCAATCCTCTCGCTGTCTCGCTGTGCTCTGGGTCAACGCCCGTGTCCTTCTGCTTTCTCTGGAGCCTCATGCTACCAGTACCCCCTTCTCCACTGTTTCTCCAACGCTCCCTCTTGACAGCTCCTGCCCAGGAAACCTCAGATGTGTTCAGGTTATTGTCCCCCATTTAGAAATAGCAGAAACACAAAACCTCACCCTGTTCCACTAAACCACTCCCCATTTCCCACCTCACAGTGACACTTTTGAAGGCTCTGGCTGTTCCTATTCTTTCACCTCCCAAGTGTTCCATTCCATTTCTCTACGATTGCCCTCAGCTGACATGAATCATGTGGCGTTAGACGACCTCCTGGTGCCCAATGCCAGTATTCTTTAGTACTTCTCTTAGTTGACTTCTCGGCAACAATAAACACTATTAGTCATTCCTTCTTTTATTTACTCATCTAAGATTTATTAAAGACCTAATATATGCCAGATACCATCAGACACTACAGTAGAGACTGGGTATGAGGGGGCAGACAGTCTCTGACCTCAAGGAGTTTACAGCTTCCTGGGAGAGAGAGGCAGAGAAGCAGACCGTACTGTGGTGTGACAAGGGTTAAGGCATATGGGAGAGGCATCTAACTGGAACCCGGAGCTTGCTCCAACAGTGAGGGCTTACAGAGAAAGATCCTTGCTGCAGCTGCAGCATGGAGGGCTCAGACAGATGAGCTGAGGTGGCCAGGGAGGGAACATTCCAAGCAGAGTGAATAGCATGTGCACACTCCAAAATGAGAGAAGGAGCAGGGGTGGGGGCACATGAGGCTAAGCCTCAGAGAAATCTGGGCTGCAGAGATCTGGTCATCGTTTAATATAGAGTTCTTCAGGCCTTGGGAGAGGGCGCAATGAGCAAGGCAGAATGTGTGGAGTGAGAAGAGGTCCATGATGGAACTCCCAGGGCCACCAAAGGGGCAGGTGACGAAAGCCCTGCAAAGGAGAAGGAAATCAGCAAGAGGCAGAGGAAGAGAAACTCAGTCGTGGGGAGAAAAAATTTCAGAAGGAAGGATGGTGACAGTGCTAAATGCTGCCAAGAGATCAATTAAGAGGAAGACTAGGGCGCCTGGGTGGCTCAGTTGGTTAAGCGACTGCCTTCAGCTCAGGTGATGATCCCAGGGTCCTGGGACTGAGTCCCGCAACGGGTTCCCTGCTCTGCAGGGAGCCTGCTTCTCCCTCTCCCACTCCCCCTGCTTGTGTTCCCTCTCTCGCTGTGTCTCTGTCAAATAAATAAATAAAATCTTAAAAAAAAAAAAAAAAAGGAGGAAGACTAAACGGTCCTCCCAACAGTTAATCTTTCCGCCTCCTGCAGGCTTTGATTTCACTGTGATGTTCTTCCAACTTCTCTGGGCACGGTTCTGTAGTCTTTAGATCAGTGTAGACACCACTCTCTCCAGGAAGCCCTACTGTTTACATCTCCTCTCTATTTGCCCATCTTCACGTCTGTCTGTCCAAGCAGGCTGTAAGCCTCACCAGGGTAGGGAATCTGTACTTCACTCACCCAGCACAGTACTTAACTTCACGACTGGTGGCCGTGCAAATACAAACTAAACAAAGCACACTTTTTCAGGCAGGCTTTTACTTCCTGGTACCTTCCAGGGTACCCCAGGACCCTGTAGTGATTGCAAATCCAAAGTATTCTGTTACCTTTCCTTGCCACAATTCGAGTTGTGTAAAATAACTGGCTCACGGCGCAGCTTAGTCGCATTCCTCAAGGATTTCATCAATGATCTGAATCTGACCTGAAAACCTCAGTTCTCCAAACCAGCCTCATCTTTCCCATTCTCAAGCCCGAGTTCCTGCAGTTCCCAAAATTTGCAATTCCTCTTCATTGTTAAATATATATATATATTTACTTTTGTCTCCAGCTGTCTCTGATTCTACTGAGTGAGCAAAATTAAATCACAACCTCCCCTCCTTACCCCGGGCGCAAAAAGAGGATAACCACCGCTACTCTGAGTGTTGTAAAGATCGCAAGGAGTAAAAGATGGAAAAGGAAATTGTAAGGCGCTGTACACAAGCAATTTATATTTTTAGAAAGTCAGCATTTCGAGGGCAGACCTCTACGGAAGGCCGATTCTTCTCCCTCGAGAAAGCCAATCCAGACCCCTGCGCAGCGCTACGCGCCAGGACCCTCCCGCCCCGTTCCACTCGCGTCTGCGCCGGCGCCGCGGGCGGGGGGGTCGCCGGCTCTTCGGCGGCCAGCAGGGGCCCCGCGGCGCCGCACGCGTCCGGCCGGTTAGGTCTCCGCTTCGGCCCTCGCTGGGCCAGCTCCGGCCGACTGGCCAGAGACGCCGAACCAGGTGCCCTGAGGAGCGTTACGCACCGCGGGGAGGGGGCCTCCGAGTTGACGTCTGAAACTCCCTGAGAGGTGCCCGCGTCTGCCGGGCTCCCGGAAACGTCGCGCCCGTCCCTCTACTCCGGGAGGCGGGGCCCGCCGCACTTCCGCATACGTTATCAGGAGGCGCCCGTGGTGGAGAGCACAATTGGCCAGTTGGGGCGAGGCATGCTGGGATACCGCGAGGTCGGTCTCCATAGCAACCGGCCGACATTCACGCAGGCCTTCAGCTGGTGGAAAAGACCCTAGTGGTTTCCTTGCTTTGCGGTCGGCTCCCTTTGGGCCGCAGCTACCTCCTTTCCCCCGTCCCCCCCGCCCCTCGTGTTCAAGGGAAGAAGCCACGACCCCACCCCCTGCCCTCCAGGTTCAGGAGAGTCACGGAGCCAGCTGTAGGTGTGAACACTCATTTATTTACACATGGTCGTTGGTAGGCAAATAACCCAGCCCAACCTATTTGAGGACACAGATCTGGCCGAGAATCTGCAGACCCTTCCTTTCTCCAAAGCTCCCAGGAAGTTTAGGCTTCTGCCCAAAAGCTAAGAACTAAATTCAACGCCTTCACCTGACTTCTTTCCAAAAGGTCCCATTTTGTTAAGTACTCCGACTTCTCAGTTCCGCCCCGTTCATACTTTTCGCTCTCCTACTGCCCACCCACCCCAGATTGTTAATAATAATAACAATAATACTGTAATAATATTAATAATACTTCACATTTGTACGAAGCTTACAGAATGTGTTCACATATAGCATCTCATCTGAGCCTCCCAACAGTTCTGTGAGGTAGGTATTTTCACCTCCCTTTTTACAGACGGGATAACTGAGGCTCAGAGAGGAAATGGGATTTGCTCAAGGCCACACAGCAAGTTTGTGGTAAAGCTAGGACTTGATCCCAGCACCCCATATTCAAGTCCAGTGTTCCAACACCACAGCTACCACTGTAAAGTGGAGCGACATTTCTTACCCCTGTCAGGCCCGAGGGACGGCCTAAGGAGGGAAGAGGCTGAGACTTCTCTGACTAGGGGAGGGAAGGGCTCAGCAGTGACGAGGGGAGTCGGGGTACTTGGCCTTCAACTCCTGTTTGAACTGGCGGTAAAGGATCTTATTGTGCTGATTTTCGGCCTCCTTTTGGGGATGGAACTTCAACGCTTCCTTGAAGCCCTTATGAACCAGGAAACCTTCGTTCAGCACCTCGAAATCAAATCCTGCCACGTGCAGCTCACAGGCCTGTTGGAGGAGAGACAGGTCAGTGAAGTTGGATGAGACTGCTAGGGCCGAGACTGACATCCCTAAAGCCTCTCTCCAGCATCCCCACTCCTCTGGAAGCATCCTGGATCTTCCACACCATCCAACCACTTCGTGAACTGTGACTGTCCTGCCTCATTGCCTCCTTTCCATCCAGGACCACTCATAGCTCCCAGAGCCCACCACTCCTCCTGCCCCATTTCCCATGCCCTCTCCCTGGGCACCTGGCTGATGCGATTGAAGCCATACTGGCGAAAGCGCTCGTCGAAAGTGGGCACCTTGCCTCCGGCCACGTAGAATGGTTCCCAGGGGTCCTGCCAGGGCACCACATAGGCAGGCCTCAGCAAGCTCTCTTCTGGCAGGTTGACCCAGCGGGAGTAGTTGGTGGGCGCCTGGCAGGGCGTGCACAGCCCATAATAGAAGGGCCGCACCTCGCCCACTTGGTAGAGCTGCAACAGCTCGTTCTTGTTCGTGGGCATACGGCGGGCTCGGCGGATCTCAAAGGCAGGCACCACCAGTGCTGTGCCTGCCCACTGCTTGCTCTGATCCAGCATTTCCCGCAGGCCCCTCCACAGCCCCTCGCTGGGCACCATGTCCACGTCGATTACCAGGGCATAGTTGGCCCCCTCACGAGCCAGATTCCTCAGCAGATTATTGGGATAGGAGACATTGGTGCCCAGCGCATAATTGATCCCGGGCTGGGCCACCCTGGCTAGCTTGTCAAAGACCTCCTGGCAGGACCGCAGCAGGGCAAACTCCCCCGGCTCCCGGGGATCGGGCACAGCGGCCTCATGGCGCGAGGGGCACACAAGGTGCATGGCGACCCTGGCGCGCATATCGGGGCAGTGGCTGCTCAGCGCGTAGGTCAGCACCGTGGCTAGCTGCGCCTCCTCCTTGGTGGCCGCGAACACCGACACGGAGAGCGGGCCCTCCCAGCGCTCCAACAGGCCCGACAGGTGCAGCAGGTTGTCCACGCTGGCGTGCGTGGCCAGGATCACGTCATTGGGGTCCATGGTGGTCTTCAGTAGGCCCCTGTAGACGCGGTAGTCGCCACTGGCGTCCAGGACGCCTCCAGAGGCCAGAGCGGTGCGGAGCTGCGCCTTGACCTGGTCCACGGACCGCGGGGACGGGGGAAAGAACTCGAAATACTGGTCTTGCTCCTCCTGCCCGTGTAGCCCGGACAGCAGCGACAGGTAGAGCAGCTGCAGCATCGCCACCAGCATTAGCGCGGCCAGAAGCAGCTGGTAGAAGGCGCACCGGATGGCGTAGGACATCTGCATGGCTCTCGGGGCTCCGAGCGCGCAGCAGGGACCACCGGGCCGCAGCCTTTGCCAGCCGCCGCAAGCCCGGATTTACTGCAGCCTGCCGAGCGCAGCCGAAGCGAGCCGAGGCGAGCCGAGCCCCGCGCAGCTTCCCCGCCCGAGCTGGCCTTGGGGCGCGCCAGCTCGCCCCCTGCGCGCGAGGAGGAGCTACTGCATGCACGGCCGTGCCGCGCTCTGCAAACCCCGAAAGTGCCCGCGGCCGCGCCTGCCGTGTTCCCGGGGCTACACGCACCCCTCCCTCCCGATCAGTGTGCGACCCCCTGGACCAGGCGCGTCCTGAAACACCCGCGCGCTCGCTCCCGTCTTAGGGAGGGGAAACCGTGGCAGAACTCTGGTTGCAGCTTGGTGAAGGATGGCGCGGGTTCGCGGCTGCGGAGGGCGGGAAGGAACACAAAAAGTCCCTTTCTTTCCGCTGTCTCTCCCTCGGTCAGGTCCTGTGAAAGTCACACCGAAGAATGGATCGGGGGGGGTGGGGCGCCAGAAGGTGCGGGGAGATGAGAGATAAGGGCATATGGAAAGGGGCGCTCTACGTGGGACGAGGTGGCCGAGTGGTTAAGGCGATGGACTGCTAATCCATTGTGCTTTGCACGCGTGGGTTCGAATCCCATCCTCGTCGGTCGTGTTTTACACGAGATGAGGGGGTGTACTTTTCTGCCTCCCGAGGAAGAGGGCCCAGGGCTCAGTGGCACGTAGAAGAACCGAATTGGAATTCTGCCTGATGCCAAATGCGGAGCCAATATATTCCCTGCGGTAATTAGAGAAGCCCCCTCAGGAAGTGGTGGAATTTGGTAGTGCTGTGATGTTTGATCACTGAAATCATTACTCTATTCAGCCCACTGATTCCCTCCCCCTAGCAGTTCTCCCAGGGGGAGACCTTCTGTCCATCCCCCCACCCCCTACCCCCCAACATACACACACATTTAAGCAGGAGGTCTAGAATATTCTAACACCAGCCAACGTATACAGAAAGCGCTTAATAAATGCTTGTGGAATAATTGATCCATGGGCACTTTAGAAGAAGAGAGGCTGTGGGGAAGGGCAGCTACTTCGACAGCTAAATCAGTTATATGTGATAACTATTTGAGCTCTGTGAATCTTGGGAAGGTGGTTTGGGGCAGACTGGAAAGAGCTTCCAATTGCTAGGGCAAGTTTTGCCCTCATCTTCATAGGCTGTAGGAAGCCAAGGTTGTTCTGTTTGTTTGTTTGTTTTAAAGCAGTTTTTTGTTTGTTTGTTTTGTTTTTTAAGAGAGAGAGAGAGCACAAGGAGGGGGGAGGGACAGAGGGAGAAGCAGACTCCCCACTGAACAGGGAGCCCACGGAGGGGCTCAATCCCAGGTCCCTGGGATCATGACCTGAACCAAAGGCAGATGCTTAAGCGAATGAGCCACCCAGGTGCCCCAGGAAGTCAAGGTTGTTGAATTGAAGAGTGACCAGGAGACCTCTATTCTGCAGCCCCAGCAATACCACATACTGAGCACTGCTCTGCGCTGGGGGCTGTGTTAGGCACGGGGGATGAAGCCTTGCAGGAGACTTGACAGGTGCTATCCTTGAAGGTTTTCATTGGTGACCTGTGCTGGTGAGAGGAGAAAAATATGTGAAAACCCTTTTAGCACAGTCCTGGCAAACTGGAGGTGCAGACATCAGATTTGGTGCTATCAGGGTCATCTTTGACTTGCTCAGTGTTGAAACTAACAATTTTGAATCACGTTAGTTGTTGGCTTTGGTGAATCAGGAGATTTCACATAAAATCCACATTTCCAACTTTTAAATTCTGAGAGATCTGGCAATGCCAGGCCTGCGTTTCCGCAGGGTGACAATTGGCTGGAACATAAAGAGTAGCTCACCCTTTGCAAATAGTTTTCTCTTGGCCAAGGTTTCAACACTACCCCTTCCCTGTTCCCCCTGGCCCCTGGGCATCTGAGTCTCATCTGCAGCACTCACACGATACCTCCCTCGGTCTGCCCAGGCACCTGCTCGCAGCGTCTTCTGCCTCCCACACACTACAGTGCTAGCCACATAGCCGGCATCAGTGTGTGTCTGTTGATGAGTGAATAAGAAGCTTCCGAAGTGTCCCCAGTGGTCGTAGCTTGAGGGGAGACTGGAAAGTAGTGATGGCCTCACCGAG